CACACCGTGTTTTAAGACTGTGTGGGGCTGGCTATGGGCAGGTTCAGTTCTCAAGGACCATCATGAGCAAGGCTCCTAGGGTTTCTTTCATAGATTTCTTAAAGTCCTGTTGATAAGTGTGAGAAAGAACACCCAGGAGGCCTGGAATGAGTGGGGCTAGTCCTGTATTCTAGGAAGGCATGATAAGTGGATGAGTCTCTCTCCCGGCCCTTCTGTCCCTCCTGGGCTTGAGATGGGCTCAGAGAAGCCAAACATGTCTCTTCAGGGCCAGGCCTACTCTTGGGTGCCACCTACAGAAGCTACAATGTTGTCCTGGCCCCTGTTAGGCAAAGGAAGTGCCCAAGGTTTGACCCAGACGGTGTCAGGTCAAGGCTGTTTTGTGGATTGAGTATCCATCCAAGAGCCCCAGCTTTTCACTAGAGCAACACCTTCTTAAACCCAAATGCTGTGCACTCAGGCCCGCTGTTCTTGGGAACAGCACCTGGATACACACAGCCCTAGACTGCTTCCCTACACCACATCCAGAGATGAGCCTTCCTGGAGGGAAAACTGTGGAGCATGGAAAACCCAAGAGACCCTCCCTGCAGGGCCTGTCTCTTTGTGGAGAGCTGTCTAGTGACTTTGACAAGTGCTTAAATTAGTTCATCTCTTTTGTGCCTATGCTTTCCCTGCTCCACCATCCACCTGCAATTCGGTTAGCCTCTCTGATCTCAGTGTCTCCGGAGCAAGCCTGATGCTCTGCAACATCTCCGCTTGATTGAAGCCCTGTGCTCTGGCTGAGGTGTGGCCTCCAGTGCTGAAGCTCATCTTGCCTTTGTAAACTCCATAGCTAAGTGACTAAGGGATTCATCCAAGGCCACATAGCAAGCAGCGGAGGTGACAAGGACCTATGGTGTAAGTTCCCAATTCCATTACAGGTGCCTCAGGCTTTGTCAGAAGTTCAAGGTCAGGGAGCCCATACACCAATTCATAGGAATTAATGAAGTAAAGGAGTGTGCCCTGCTGGAAGGATGTGCCAGCAGCCTTAATAGACTTGCCTTCTAGTTACAAAGGAGTGGCCTTAGGAATGCTGAGTACCCATGCTGTACACTCAAGAGCTCACAACCTTTAGGAACCAGACCAAGTTTTTCTCCAAGCTGAAACTAGCCTTGGCCTCTGGCCCTGCAGCAGCCCCTAATAGCTAACCCAGAGCCACAGGACTGTCCTCTGTGTTCTGAGACACCTAGACAACTTTGTCTGGGTACATTTTTGATCTCTGGCTTCTATGATATCTGGTGTCTCCAGACAGAGATGAGAAATTGTAGCCCAGAGCCCTTTGGCAGGGATGGCAGGTGTGTGGGTGGCTACATAGCTGGGCACAGTCAGACAGGAGGCAGGTATTGTCTCATGACAGCTAATCAGGATAAGTGGAGCCTTTTCCACTGCAGCTTGTTGAAGCTCTTGTCTCAGACCTTTGGGTTATGGGATGCTGTTTGAATGGTAGGTCACCCCAGGCATCCTCGATGAACTGTCCAAATGATTAGCTTGAGGGCTGGTACTGAGGGTGGGGGTCAGAACTCGAGAGTTCTGTCTGCCAGCACTTCAGGGCCTAAGCAAAACTGGATGTGGGGGTGGGGGATGAGAGTGTTAAGGGTCAAAGATGTATTATCATGCCAGACACCCAGGAAGTGTTGGGAGGGCTTATATAGGCCAGATGAGGGGTTTTACTCAGTGAGAAGATGACCCTCTTCTGGTGCTGGGAGATCTGGGGGTGTAAGGATTCCTGAGCTTTGTGGACATCCTTCTTGGCCAAGTCCTACTCTATGCCTAGTATTCAGTAGGTAGCCTGGGAGTTCCCCTGGTCCCCCTCTAGACAAAGGGATAGGTGGGCGGGGGGAAATCTGTGGAGCTGTCCAGGCGATCTGGTTGAAGACAAGTAAGGAAGTGACTTAAGCCTTGTGTTTCATGTTTGGGTCTCAGAGATAGGTAGGTACTGGCCTGAGAAGGGGATTCTGGGAAAAGATCAGATTTGAATCGGATGAGGGAACAGGAAGCAGTCAAAGGAGTACTTCCTGTGTGGAAGTGCTTCATGCTTCCTCCCTGTCCCTCCCAACCCATGAGGGCCCAAACAAGGCTCTCTCTAGTGTCTTCACACTCAGGCTTTATTGAAGCAGTGAGCACTAATAGGTAAGTTACAGATGTATAGTTTCAGGTATTATCCACTGTGGTCCCCACACAACCTTGTCTCCCAGCCCAGTGCCAGACTCCCATCCCTTCCCCACGCACACAGCTGAGACTCCTCCAACCCCATTTCCTTCAGCTCCAACCTCAGGAAAAGATGGAGCCCCATAAGTTGCCCCTGGTCTTCTGACATGATTTCCATCCTTTTATGGAGATGACAACTCTTCTTAAGGCTTCCTGGAACTTGGAGAAATCACTTTGCTCAATAGTACAGTCCTCTGGTATTAACATCATCTTCTTCACAGGAAAAAACAAAGGTATCTTGTCTTCCCAGCCCTGGGGCCTGGTAAGCTCCTGTCTCGTAGGAAGTAACTCAGGGAGGCCCTCTCCACTTCTGGATGAGCAAGAGTGTGTCCACCTATGGCACTGAGACCTAGAGTCTGAGGACTATACAGAACTGGGGAAGGAAGCAAAGAATATATGTCAGGTCCCACTGCTCTCCCAGATAAGGCCATGAGGCTGAGCACATAGGAGTCCACAGGATCACACAAGCAGAGGGCAAAGACAACACAGCTCAGTGCTGTCCCCACATGGTCCCCTAAACTGTAGTCTCCTCACATTATAGGCTCCACAAGGGACTCCTCAGCCCAGAAGACGCCCCAGGGGTATAGCAACCTGGAACAGCCTTTGTTCTCCTTTTTCTAGCTGAGTCAGTGACCAAACTATTTGACTTGTTTCAGACCTGACCCACAGGAACGCTGGGAGGACACAGACAGAGGCCCCCAAAAGTACCCTTGAATTGATGTTCCCAACCCTGTACAGTTTTCTACTCCCCATTCTCCAGCCTAGCACGAGGAGATTTCTTTTGGTTTTGAGATGATTCCAAAGGATAACCGTAGGGCTTGAATCCCCCACCATGGGGGAGGCGAGTAGTGTTCAGACAAAGGCCTGTGCCTCACTGGACCCCAGGCTGTTGTGCAAGCAAATGGGACCTCAGGTTCCCCTAAAAGCAACCAGCAACTCACTTTCAGCTTCATGCAGATTTCTGTGGAGTTTCATGCCCTTATAAATCTTGGTTGTGTGTGGATCCTGCTTCTCTCAGACAGCTTCTTCAGGGTGAAGGTGAATTCCTTCATAAGTTTTCCATAGCAGAGTTCCTGGAACAGGGTTGGTGGGCCTACATAGTGACATACTACAGACACCTTGCTCACCCTGGTCTGATGGAGCCCTAGACCAAAGACCTTACAGAAGACTTGCAGATCCTTCAGGCTATGCAGTGGAGGCAATAGATAGCTCATCTCCCCTTGGAGCTAGGGCCATGTTGGGATGGTGGCTAGAGAGTCTGTCAAAGTTCCACACTAGGCCACTGGCTCATCTGTTGACTGAGTCAGAGGTTCAGTTCTCAAAGCCTCAGCATTTCCCATTCTTATCTCCACCCTGTTTGCTGACTGAGCCAACCCCTTTCTCCCCATTCAGCTGTGGTTATAAAGGCCAAAGACGTTAGATGCCTCTTACCTCACTGATATTCTAGAGTCTACTGAAGTAGCCCTGCAAACAAGAGAAGTTGGTCCTGAAGGGTAACAGGTGTGAGTGTGTGGGGATTGATGGAAAATCAAACTTATGTGGTATGTCTTCTTGTCCTCGGACAGTTCTTGCTGAATCTCAGCACAAAGGGTCATGCAATTTTTCTGGAGAGCCATGGTAGCTACCTTCAATTGATGCACAATGGCATTCTGAACCCCAAAGTACAAAAAGCCAGGAACATACACAGGCGCCTAGTCTCAGAGGCAACTCACAGTAAATCCAAACTTGGCTTGCTTGACAGCATTTCAGTGGAAAGGCACCTATATATACACATGTGAGTCTAAGGAAGTGTAGGTGCCACTTATCAGTTATCGATGGCTTCTGAAGAAGACAGAGGGGACCTTAGTGCTGGGTAAGACTTGCTTTTTATGCATTTTGATATCATACCACACTCCATGGATCCTTCTCTTTGCTGGGATTCAGGATTGCTCTAAGAATTTGTATTTACAATTGCAAATGGTGTTGTGGTCTTTTTGCCTGAGGCAGGTGTCTGGCAGGGACTGAGCCATCACGTTGGAACACAGGGAGCAGTGAGTGATCAATACATCCTGGCACCTACAGGGGCCTTAAACTGTAGATAGCCAGCTTCCTCAGGCCACCTGCAGGAAGAAGGCTGGTCTCAATGCCCAACCCCCAACTTTGGGAACACACTCATTTCCTGGTGGTCCTCAGGGTAACAAATTGGGGACAAGACCTTCAGCTTGGCTGTTGAGCAAAGACAGAGGATAACCACATTTCTCTCAGCCCCAAGGCAGTGGATTTTAGTAGAAAATACCAGTGAGAGTCAAAATTTAATGGGAAAACAAAAACCTGTTAAGAAAAGTGCCTCTGAAAAGCTATGCCCCAACATATACCAAACTGACATTCTGATGGCTAAAGATTAAGATCACGCATTTTGGGGGAAAGTTGGGGAAATATGCTGAGCTCTGACCCCTGTGGTTTAGTTTCTTTTTCTCCGAACAGTTAGTTAGTCTATTTGCTGATTTACTTTAAGAGTGAGTGAGGCCCCAAGTGTCAGGGCAGAACAGGAACACAGGGTCCATTGGCCTCAAAGGGGGACAACAGTTTTGCTGGACACCACAGTTGACTTGTTTAGACAGTGACCACAAACCCCAGAA